GAAGTTCCTTGTCCAGCGAGACCCCTTGTGGACTCATGCCCTGAAATTTATAGTCACTAGATAGCTTTCTCAAACTTTCTTGTATGAGGTTCACTTGTTGTTGCTTCACAGGGTCATCAATTTTGAGGGTTAAAGCCTTTATCACCTCAGTCACGTCATTCAATTGATTCCTAAGTTCATTGACCTCTTCTTAACTTGCCATTATCTTTTTAGCCTTCCTCTTTTGACGAATTGGTTTATCAAAAAGTGAGACTTGAATAAAGAGGTTGTCCTTGATTAATCGCCCTTCTCTCCTCGACCAAATACTATGGAAAAGGAATTTGGGGATATTCATTATTAATTATTTGACTCAAACTTTATTCAACATGAAGTGGATGGAGGAAGTGAAGAAAGATTGGAATAGAATGTGAAGAAAAAATGATATAGATGGAAGGATATGGAAAATTAGGAATAGAATGTACCCCTCAACTCAAATGACAGAAAGACCGACTCATGCGTGAACCTAAGACATGGTCATGGTGATACATGTACTCGAAGTGTGTGCTAAGACTAGTGAGTGTAGGTGGTACATTAAGACTCGTGTCATGACCATGTGGCTAGACTATGTGACTTAGTGTTTAGACTTAATTAATGACTTAACAAGGTATTATTGACAGCGAAATTTAACCGAATTAATTAGTAAACTGGTTAATTAGACACTAGGTGATGACTCGGGAAATAAACCGAACTGTCGCCAAAACGACAGGACTGGCGCCGCACTGTGTAGTGTAGCGCCAGACGACAGGGCTGTTGCCAGGCGCCACACTCCACAGAGTGGCACTACAGTTCAGATTTTGGCGCCAATGCTGGAGCTTCAATCTGAGAATGTTTTCGGTGTTATTAATCAACAGGGGTATGCCTAAAGTCGTACTAGGTCAATTCTGATTAAAGAAAAAATTAGACTTTATTTACTCAAATGAATTAATTAATTAATTAGGCAAAGTTCTTTAAGCCATTAATTTATTTAATCTCAACACAAGTCAAACAAACGGTTAAGAAATCATAGTATATGCACAACAAATAATGCACAATTAGTCAAGTAGGTACAATATGATGCAATGAGTTTGCAACCTAACCATGGCTCTAGTTCTTTAAAGTTCGGGATATGGTTTAGTCAATAAAGGGTCCATGGTTAATTGTCCGGATGCACCGCGCGGAAGCCTAACCGTGAAGGGTTGGCGCGAGTGGATGGGACACCGCGAGTTTTAGAAAAACTCGCTTCCATGGTTTGGTGAATTCAACAATCTCGGATGTACCCTTTGTTGCTTAGAGCGTTCAATCAGGTAGATGGAGCATGAATTCCCAGAGGGTTATGTCCATATGTAGAACACATGGGTTTTAGAAAAGTGAGAAAAAATTCAATCAGGAAGTAGGATCGAGCAAACAATACGAAAAACTGGTCGAAATTAGAACGCATATTTCTGGCTCGATATTGGAAGAATCTGGTGCTAGCAAACGAAAATTGGCGCCAGGTTTTATCTGTAGCGCCTGGCGAAAAGCCTATCGTCTGGCGCTACAGTTAAATGTCTGGCGCCAATACTCTGGATTGCTGACGCTAATTCCTACATGCCTTAGCAGCTTTCTGTGCTCGATAAAATTTTCCAGTTTCGCGCAGTGTTATTTCGGTTCTAGTTAAGAAAGATATTTCTCAAATTTCCTACGTGTAAAATCCTATGTTTTTAACTCATTACGGATGGTCTTTCCAATGAGATCTTTTTTATGCATATGACAATAATGTTAATCAAAATTACGCACATGAAATACTTAGAACGTTTCGAGTCTTATCCACTCATTCTAAATCATTGCCGAAACAAAATCAGGAATTAAAATAGAAATCCTCCCCAGCAGAGTCGCCAAAAAACTCTAGGGAATATTTCAAGCGTTAATCCCCTAGTTTGAACCCCATTGTGATCATACACTAAAGTACGGTGGCGTCTAAAGGGAAAGAAGATAGAGCAAAAGAGTCGCCAAAAAGTTTTTTTAGGAACTTATAAACCGTTCACGAGGTGAAGGTTACACCCCTTAACGATCCAAGAGATCGTCAACTCCATAAGGTCTTAAACCAAATAGGGTTCGGGGATGAAGGTACAAATCCAACCTAAAAGAGATTGAACCTGCCCTAATAATAGGCCTCTACTTTATTCAGATCGTATTCATGTGCGCTTTTTGACTAACATACAATCAATAGGCTTAACCCTAAACCTGTTTATCTATGTTGGTTGAATATTAATGCACAAATAAATCTATTATTGACGATCACTTGAATTATAATCATATTAACCTTAACAAGATTATTAATTATCTTATTAAGCGTGATTACAAGTACAAATTCCCTTTAAACATGCATAGAAAGGTGTGATCAAGCAATAAAAATAAATATCAAGCAACATAATAATCATCATAACAATATTTATAATAAAAATAATCATAATCAAAACAATTATAAAAATCATAATAATAAATTATAATTAAAATAATCATGTTAAAGCATAATTAAAATAGCAAGATCCTAGGCATGATACTAACAAGATTAATAACAAACCCTAGCATGTCACTAAGCATAAAAATCAAATCTTTAACCCTAACATGATACTAGGAATCAAAAATATTAGGAAGAAAATAAAAGGCATTGTAACGATCATATTTAGCATTAAATTTACCCTAGACATGATACTAGGAATATCATAATAACAACCTAAACATGATCTCTACATCATAATATCAATAAAACCATTAAAGTACTTACTTGGATGCCTCGTACCTCTTTCTAATAACAAAATACACACGTTAGTAACTTCAAGGAAAATAATAAACAAAACAATTAAATTAAATAATTGAAATAAAGATTTGGGACCAAACCCTCAGAAATTAAACCTTTCACGTCTAGGGCGAAGGCAACTTCAAATATGGCTAGGTGTTTCTAGATCTAATAAATGCAGAATTTTGTATTTGAGAGAAGCTAGTTTAGAAAAAAGAGAGAGAGAGAGAGAGAGAATTGGTTGATAAGATCTGATTGTTGTTGATGAAAACTGGTGATAATTGGTGAATGAAAACGGAGTTTTTACGACGTTAATTATAGAGAAAAATCAGCCAAAAAGATAAAATATCAAAACAGAGTTCTGGCGCACATAAAATTGAATTAGCGCCAACGCTGGCTATTGGCGCCAGATGCCAACATTAGCGTTAGGCGCCAATGCTAGTGACAAGCGCCAAGCGTAGCGCCAGGCGCTACAGCTGGCGTTTGGCGCTGATTCAGAAATTCACGCGTTTTCTTAAATCAGATAAAAATTGCCGTACAGGAGGATAAAATCGTATTTTTCCTCAAAAAAATGCTCTTTGATTTTAATTAAAACTCAGAAAAGTCAACAAAAGTCAATTTATCAATGCTAATTGAATTAGGAATGAAAAGAACCTTCTAGAAGAACCTAAAAGACTAAAACAATTCCTAATTGCATTAGGAATGATAAATCTATATTAGGCCCTCCCCTAGATCATTGGGCCGCATATAAGGCTCAAACAGGGCCCAGTTCAGTAAATTGGCCATAACTTCCTCAATATTCATCGGAATTGGGCTTATAATATATCGTTGGAAAACTCTCGTCAAGCCCCATCCAACTACACTACTATTGGACCCATATCATGGACCAATCAAACTGGATTGACAGTTTTTCTTAAAAGAAGTTTTCAAAAACAGAGAGAAGAGAAAAGAAATGAAAACTATCCGCAACACTAAACTTTCCACACTTTCACTTCATTCGATTATGATTTGACACGAAAGGTACTCATCACTGGGTTTTGGTTTTAGGGAGACACAAATGGGTGTCTACACAGGTGTTTAAGGATGCTCTGGCTAATTGGGATAAAAGGGTAAAGGCCATGGCTGAGAATGCTAGATTGGAACAGGAAAAGTCCCAGGCTGAGAGAGAGTTGGAAGAACAGGAAGCTTTTAAGGTTGCAGTTGAGGTTCCTATGACTAATCTTGATGATGGTGATTTTGTGTATATAAGAGTGTTTGACACTCCAATTGCTGATGAAGTATTCCCTGGGCCATCTCAGCCTGTGGCTGAAGAAAGTACTCAAGCCTCAACTTCGCCTAAACACTCCTACCCACCTTCACCTCTAAACCAGTCCAAAATAACACCAAAAAAAGGGCAAGGAAAACAACACCTAAAAAAAGGGCAAGGAAAACAACCAGTCAATCCTCTATCCAACCACAAACAACAACACCACCTCAACACCCAGCTTCAAATCAACCAGAAACAACCCCACCACCACAACAACCACCTCAACCTCCAGTTTCTTCTGAACTTCATGTAAGTCCACCACCAGTTTCACCTGAACCACAAACTGCAATAGTACCACTAAACACCTCAACTCAAGAACCAGAATCTACAGCAGCTCCATGTTCTAATCCTAAAAAGGGAGGCAGGTCAAGACCTGAGGGATTTAGGTCCAAGAAGAGTGCAACAAAAAAGGTTACTTTTGAGGGGAAATCTGTTACTGTAAGGAGATAAAAAAGAAATAAGGGTACAAACAGAGTACCTGATGAGTTGAGTGAGCAAAGGTAAGCTGAGACTGGTAGTGATAGTGAAGATGATGATTATATGCAATCAGATAGTGAAGATGACTCTGAATCAGATATTGGTGATTTCATAGAGGATGAGACAGTGATAGATTGTCTAAATGATGACATTCAGGAGAAGCAATTTGAGGATTATCTAGATGGTAGTTCAACCATGGATAAGACCTACAAGAATGGAAAGATTTGGACACATTAAGAGTTTGGAGCAATCAAATTAGAGCCATGGTTGATATTTGGAGATAGGGAGTCATTTCTGGAAGTTATTAAAGACTACTGCATACAAGAAGGATTTGGTGTTTATGTTGAAAAGAATGACAAAACAAGATATATAGCAAGGTGTGCAGTAGATGGTTGCGACTAGAGAATCCATGCTTCCACCATGACAAACAAGGTGAGCTGGGCAATCAAAACTTTAACAGGGGAGCATAGAAGTTGTGGACGGTTGGAGCTTAACTCAGTTGTAACTTCTGAGTGGCTGTGTAGACAACTGCAGTCAGACATTCAAGCAAATCATGACATCCCAGTTGAGTCTTTACAAAGACTTTGTATGGAAAGGTACATGATTGAAGTTAAAAAGAGGCTCTTTTACAAGGTGAAGGCAATGTGTAAGGAGAGAATTCATGGGGGGTATAGAGAGGCATACTCACTACTGCCTAAGTATGCTGAAATGGTAAAAGAAACTAACCCAGGGAATTATGCTCTGGTCAGTTGGGGTGAATCAACTGCAAATCAGCCACCAAGATTCAAGGCTTTTTTTTTTTCATTTGCTGCCCAATGTAGGGGATTCTTGAGAGGCTGCAGACCTATAATTGGCATTGATGGAGCTCACTTAAGTGGGCATTTCAAGGGAATCTTGCTGACTGCACTTGGGATTGATGGGAACAATGAGATTTTTCTCATAGCTTATGGAGTGGTTGGGACTGAGAGCATTGACAATTGGGGTTATTTCCTAAGGAACTTGAAAATCCTATTTGACAAGGAAGGTTGTAGTAGAGATGATTGGACTTTCATCTCTGACAGGATGAAGGTAAGCCACCTTTGAGAAGATTTTTTAAAAAATGATGATTTATTGTCTTAGGTATTAACTGATAGCTTTCCATGCAGGGTGTTGACACATCAATCCTTGAAACATTCCCAGAGCAACAAGAAGAGTGTGTTTCCAGCACTTGTACACAAACTGCAAGGCCAAAGGATTTAGTGGTTCAGCCTTTCATAAGCTTTTCTGGATTGTAGCAGATGCATATAATGAGTATGTATTCAACAAAGCAATGAAGAAAATACATGAGTACAATCCTAAGGTTGTTGAATACTTAGAGAGCTGCACTGAGGTTTGGTCTAGGCATAAGTTTGATCCTGCATTGTGTTATGATCATAACACTACAAATTTTGTAGACTCATTCAACTCATGCACACAACCTTACAGAGATCTCCCTGTTTTAAGATTACTTGAAGGTAACCACACAACACAAAAATATTTTCTTTAACACAAATGAATTCTTTGTATTGACAGTGTTGTGTGAATGTTGTATTGCAGCAATAAGGCAATGGGCAATGAAGAGGATTAGCTCAAGGTTTGACAAAGCCATGGGCATGGGGGATATGGACCTAACTGAGTATGCAACAAAGATTCTGCTAGCGAGATCAGATGAGTCTAGGCTATGCTATGCAACCCCTTGTGGTGGTGATGAATTTGAGGTTAGAGACCAACATGTGCATTTTCCCATCAAGCTCAGCAGAGGCACTTGTGGGTGTGGGAAGTGGCAGCATTCAGGTTTCCCTTGCAAACATGTGCTAAGGGTTATATATCACTAGAGGCTACAACCTACAGACTTTGTAGCTCCTTGCTTCAAAGGGAAGGCATACAAGCTTACTTATGCAGAGCATATGCACCCAATGCCAGACCCAAGTCATTGGCCATCAGTCAACCTTCCTGAGATATTACCACCAATGGTAAAAAGATCTGCAGGAAGACCAAAAAAGCAAAGAAGAAGAGGGCCAAATGAAGCTAGAAAAGGGAAGAGGCATTCTACAGTTAAGTGCAGCTTATATGGTAAAATTGGGGCACAACATGTTGAGTTGTTCATCTAGGAAAAAAACCTCAACAGCTGAAGCAACCACATCAAAGGAAACCTCTTATCCCAAGAAGAAATCAAAGAAAGCAGCAGCATGAATGGACAACAAATCCCCTTCTTAATACACCCACAGCCTGAACATTCAATGTAATTTTTTGAACATAATCATTATAGTGTGTGGTGTGTTGTTTATTTTGACATGTCCATGTTATATTTTTGGGAAACTGATGCAAACAGTAAGCTCATGTTTTGAACATGAAGCTTTTTTTGTATAAACAGGAAGCTATTTTATAGTATGGACATAATTAAATTTCCCTCTTTATTAAATTTCATTGCAAATTACATTAATCCATTTCATTTCATCATTACAATCACAATTACAACACACATCAGTGCCTCTAATTTCATTATACAATTCATAACTTTGTGTTGTTGCTTGATTTTCTTCTTCAATTGTTTCACTTCTTCATACAAGTTGCTTTGTGCTGAGTCATCCCTTACAAATGAGCTTCCCCTACTTTGAACTTCTTCTTGCATTTGAGCTTTACACCATTTGAAGCTATTACATGAGTCACACTTATAATACAACCTTTGTGGATTACATGTTGACTCCGAGCTTCTGATTGCGTATTTCCTACCACACTTGCAAAAATTTTTTGGAACTTATGCACACTCATTTATTGAGGAAGATGTGTTTGATAGTAAACTCGTGATTAGATAACAAAGGGCTACCTTTGTGTGTTATTAGGGACGAATTTATACAAAAAAAGGGTTGCAACGGCTAGTTTTCCCCCAAAAAAATTAAAATATGTTACAAAAATAACTAGCCGTTGCAACTCATTAAATCAGAGGTGTTTTGTGTAAAACCTGAAAAAGTAATGGCATTTGGTGAAATATATAAACAGTTGAGTGGCATTTAATGAAATAAGTTTTGCAATAACGGATTGTTAACGTCCAAACCTCATTAATGGCACGTCATGTCATTGTACTGTTTGTGAGAGACATTAGGTGAATTTTGAAAAGTTGGATGGCATTTGGTGAATTTCCAAAGTGCTCAGTGGCATTTGGTGAAATAGCCGTTTATTTTTTAAATGGCTGCAATTTGCAAAATACGAACTTTAAATGGCTGCAATTTGCAAATTTTCCTAAACATAATAACCATTAATTCAACAAAGCAAACAAAAACTATTATTATTGGCGTTTGAAGAGGAAAAATGTGAAACTACTCACAAAATGAAATTCCGATTTCATGAGGTCGATTTCCAACAAATACTGGATCAACACAAATGCACTACATCATATATCAAAAGTATATCATCATAAGATAAAATAATATAAATTAAAACACCATTAAAATTTGTGAAATTAATTAAGGAATATAATAAGGAAAAATGGAACTAAATAATCCCACCTTTGTCTGATCTGACAATAACAATCCCACCTTTTGATTATTACGAGGCAATCCCACCTTTGTATGTCATATTCTTTTAATAGGATTTTTTTACCTACAACCTATTAAACAAGTTAACATGTTTTTTTTTTAATTATTTTAAAGCCACATTTGGCTTGATGATTGGACAAAATAGTAAAAGTTAACAAAAAAAAGGTAAAAAAAATATAAAATAAAAAACAAAAAAACCCATCAGCCCACCCCCACCCCCATAGCCACCGAGAAACCCCTACCCCATACCCTAGGCCCACCTAAAAATGGCCGGATACCAGCCTTAACCCCCAAAAACGCCGACCGGAACCACCAAAAGTCACCCCCGAAATCACCCCTAACCCAAATTTAACTCCGACACCAGAACCACCACCCTGAAAACAATACCCAGCCGCTGAAAACCCCTATGCCCACCAAATACCGCTAGCCCAGCCCCGATAAACCCCTAAACCGCCGAAAAAACCAACAAAACACCCCATCCCAGCCCCGATTTACCCTTATTACCACCGAAGACCTCCATCCCAGCCTCGATTAACCCCTACAGTTGCCGAAAAACCACCGACAATCCCACTCAACCTCCCTAAATACCCCAAAAATCCCCATCTCAGCCCCTAAAAACACGTCACCTGGTGGGTGGGTAGGTGTCGACCGGCGCTTTTCGGACATTAAGGAGGGAGGTCGGCCGATCTTTGGTGGTGGCTGGGGTAAGGATTTTACGGTCATCTTTTTTTTCTGTATTTTTTTTTCTTAAAAAAAAATATAACGAACCAATTAAAATCTAACACGTGGCATATAACCTATAAAAATTGGTCACTAACCAGTCAAGGTCTATTAAAAGAAGATGACATACAAAGGTGGGATTGCCTCGTAATAATCAAAAGGTGGGATTGTTATTGTTAGATCAGGAAAAGGTGGGATTATTTATTTTCATTTTTCCATATAATAATGTAGCAACAGTACAATCATATATATATTACCTCACACCAACCCTTAATTCCTTGAAGCAGAAACTAAAGAAATTATAAGAAAACCCAATAAAAAATAAAAAAATTAATATAATATTATAAGAAAATATATTCTGAATAAAAATAAAAACTAAGGATTATCATAGTTTGCAAAGTGAGAATGCACTAACATATATAAATTTCAACAACTTGACGATTCATACTATTTCACCATGTAGAAAGAGGAGTTGTGAACTTGTGATTGATGAGGGGAGGTGTAGAGAATATTTCAAGCATTACCCCTAACTTGAACCCCACTGTGATCATACACTAAAGCATGGTGGCGTCCAAATGGAAGGAAGATAGAGCAAAAGAGTCGCCAACAAGTTTTAGGAACTTGTAAACCGTTCACAGGGTGAAGGTTACACCCCTTAACGATCCAGGAGATCGTTAACTCCAATAGGTCTGCAACAATGACTAGAAGTTCGGGGATGAAGGTACAAATCCAACCTAAAAGAGATTGAACCTACCCTAATAATAGGCCTCTACTTTATTGTGATCGTATTCATGTGCACTTTCTGACTAACATGCAATCAATAGGTTTACCCTAAACCTGTTTATCTATGTTGGTTGAATTTAATGCACAAATAAACTATTATTGAAGATCACTTGAATTACAATCAAATTAACCCTAAACAAGATTATTAATTATCTTATTAAGCATGATTACAAGTACCAAATTCCTTTAAACATGCATAAAAGGCGTGATCAAGCAATAACAATAAATAATATCAAGCAACATGATAAAATAAATAAATCATAACAATTATAGCAATAATAATCATATTAAAGCATAATATTAATAGCAAGAACATAGGCATGATACTAACAAGATTAATAACAAACCCTAGCATGTCACTAAACATCAAAGATCAAATACATAGCCCTAACATGATACTAACATGATATATTAGAAAGAATAGGAAGCATCGCAGGAATAACAATTGTCATATTTGATATTAGATATTATAGTTGTTACCCTAAACATGTTACTAGGAAGATCAAAACACCCTAACATGACACTAGGAATCATAATAACCTAGACATGATCTCTATATCATAATAACAATAAAATCAATTAAAGCACTTACTTGGATGCCTCGTACCTCTTTCTAATAACAAAATACACGCGTTAGTAACTTCAAGGAAAATAGTAAATCAAACAATTAAATTAAATAATGATTGAAATAGAGATTTGGGACCAAACCCTCAGAAATGTTAAACCTTTCACGTCTAGGGCGAAGGCAATTTCGAACTTGGCTAGGTGTGTCTAGTGCTAATGTATGAGGAATTGTGTTTGTAAAAGGCTAGGCTTAGAAAGAGAGATAGAATCAAGAAATTCTTGACGAGAGTTGATGATTGAAAACATGGGAGATATGACCTCTATTTATAAAGAAAAAAGAGAGTCGAAGAATAAGACAAGAATCCGAATTCGAATCAAAATAAAACTCGATAGACAGAAGTTTTTGCGGATTTTGTTTTTATCATATCTTTTGATCCAGAAGTCCAAATAAAGCATATGATATGTCGTTGGAAATCTCTTGAAGTCTACTTTCCAACCCAATTATAATCAGATTAAAATATTTTTTAGATAAAAAGATATGGCTGAAATAGTGGGATGGTGTCAATTTTGGATAGTGTTTTTTATCTCATTCATATCTTTTTCGTTATAGCTCGGATTTAATATTATAATATATCATTGGAAAGATAATTTTT